GTTGAACTGCTGGTTAAGACTTTGTTAATTGATATGGTGAACTCTATACAGTGAGTTTTATAGCACTACTGGGTTATCTGGTGTAAAAAAAACTCCAGAGGTATTTTCTGCTGTATTCATTGATTACAAAAATTCACATGAATTCTCATTAAAATGATAAAAATGGGTGGTGGATGGTTGGATATGATTTACTTAGWTTTTAGGATGTACTGTAGTAAACTTTTTTGTCTCCCACTTTCCTGTTAAGGTAAAAATAGAAGCTAAAGATGTTATTTTCTATAGTGCACATAAGTGTATGTTAATGACTACTGTAGTCTTCACCCCTCCCTTTCCCCGTTTGTTTTGGTTTTCTGGTAGCTTTAGAATTTTGTTGAGAATAAAAATAATSTTAATGGATATTGTCATTATGAGAACAATGAATGACGAAAACCAGGAGAATGTAATCTGCAGCTGATTAACTTGAAACTTTTTTCCTTGACAAGTGAATGAAGTTTGGTATTTGCACAATCAATGTTTGTCATCTCTGATGTAAGAAACTTGATGTCTGGAAAGTTGTCGTACAGCTATTTTTTTTTAGATGGTGTAAAATTGTTGTAATAACTCAGCAGTGTATATTTCTCTGTCATCCAGATAACAGTCTTGATTTCATGAGAGATTGAATGATGTGTAAAAAAAAAAAGGAAAAAAACAGCAGCAAAAAAAAAAAATGGTTTCCAGTAATTTATTTTCTGAAAACAAAGAATTCAAGCTAAAATGGTATGTTATCCATGTAGTAAGTATTATCTGAGGTGAAGGAAAACATGATCCCTCTTGCTGCCTGTAACAGAAGTGGAGCATCAGCAGGAACAGCAGACATCGAAACAACCAAGGTGCACAATGTTCCGTTTGTTTCTGATCACTCTGAATTGCAATCTGCACTGCACCTTTTCTTCATTCACTCTTCACCCAGTTGCTGCTGCTGGCAGGGTAGGCAATTGCTGTAGCCTGAAAGGCAGCTCTACTGGAAGGAAAGGGGAAGAGTATTAAGGTCGTCTGTCAAGGAATACAGTCCCTGAGCCAGGTGGAAAGGAAGTCTGAAGGCAGACAGAAGTAGGTTTTCCTATGGTCTCCCTTTACTGAGGAGATCCCTCCTTAGTCCTGCAGAGGAGGYAAAAAGAAGTTTGAAACACATGCCCATCAAAGCACTTTCAGACTTCACGGGCTGAGTGCTCCTGAAGAAGAAATTATCTTGGAAGTTTTGAAGGAGAAGAGCAGAAYCTGAAAGCAGAGGGATGTCAAGAACCTGCTATAGAACTGCTTCTCTTCAGGTGTTTSCAAATTTTCAGCACCCATGGTCAGCGCCTTCTCCTGGAGCTGCTATGGGAGCTGCTGCTGCGCCTGCCCAGCTGCTGTGTGGCTCAAGTACATACCTGGATATCCAGAGTAAGAGCCCACTTGAGTGCTGAAACACCCTAGGAGCCTTCAGGCCTGCTGAAGTGTAACATAATGTACACAGCACTTTTTTTCCCCCAGCTGCTGTCCTGTTACTCCCAGTTGCTCTCCAGCCATTCCCAATATGTGTCAAGAGGACAGTGATGATTTCATGGCTGCATTTAGGAAGAGTTCATTATACTACTATAGAYGGGCTCTGCTGTTTTGTGCATTACAGTCATAAATCCAGGGAGTTGTCATATGGAGAGGGTTAATGAAGCTTAAAATAATACAACATTGCTGCTTCAATTTTGACGGTTTTTTTTAGTTGTTTTTGTAGTGCTTAGTTTTGGGTGGATCTGTTTTCATAAATACGGTAGWTGATACTGGATGTAAATGTGCACAAGGCAAAAATACTGAAAATATTACCACTTCCAAAATTGTCATGTCTCATAATGTGAATTTGTTTTAGTAGTCAAAAGACAGATCAGTGGATCGTATGGAATGATTAAAGTTTTTCTATCATGTTGAAAATACATTGTCTCTTTGGGAGTGTGGTTAAACAAACCCATCCACCCACACAAATGTTGAAATTCCCAATCAGAGGTATGGATTTGCTTTCCGGACCTGATTCTGAAGGAGTCAGTAAAACAGAGAATCTGACTGTTTTTGAGAGGTGAAGAGTATTGTCTCTCAGGGAAAGTCTGACTCATGTGAGTACAAGAAATGCCATACTGTTCTGATCTGCCAAACTGGAGCACTTAAAAAAGTGATTTATACCCGTTCTTGGTGGGTTTTGTCATTGAACTGTATTGCTCCCTCTTGAAAAAYGTTTACAGCACATAAAGGTTTTTTGTTGATGCATTTAAATTTTCACCTGACTGCTTTTGACTTCATTGTAAATGGATTTTCTAGAAACTATTTACAGCAGCACAGTTTCAAAGTAATGAAGTTATTTTACTTGGAGCATTCWTACTGCTTTCATTAGATGTTTTTTGGCCCTAGTTGTGTCGAAATGCTTTCTTCAAGTTGGTTATTCTAGAAAAATGTAGAAAGATGTCTTCCTTCAAAACACATACTCCTTTTTATCATAAAAAAAATAATTAGCTATAAATTCTTCATCTATGTGAGAAAGTGAATCCAGGTATTAACTAACATCCTGATACTACTGCACAGTAGTAAATCTTCACACGAAAGTCTTACAGGAGGGAAARCTCATAACTTGAAGTGATATCTGTACCTTAAAAGCTGTAGCTGACAAGTGAATAGGAATGTTTTAGTGTCCTTAGCTTGCATTGTTATTTTTAGACTTAATTATTTAGATTGTCTGAAGATTGTGAAGATTGTCTGAATGCTAGTGGAATTCTGAAAATGCCCATGTCCACCCTGTGTATTTCAGGTTATCTAACARTCATATGTATTTAAGCAATGATTTCCCAGATTTCCAAAGAAATGGAAAAAGGCTTTTTCAGGTATCTCAGCTTGGCTTGGTGCCACTGTAAACCTAAAAAAAAATCTCTATTTAGAGGACAGCARGATTAAGTTGACTGTTCATATATTAAGATTCTTGAAATTTTGGTTAAGGTGAAAAGTGAATAGTGAAAGGCAAAAGCATAGCCTTAAGTGCAAAAAGAAGAATTTCCATTTCAGAAACTGGTTTTTTGATGCTTGCAGGCTGGACTAACTTTGGTATCTATATCTAGACATGTAGATTAGTAGACCCTTGCAKTTATGTCACATATCAATTTACTGGATGTCATACATAGCATCAGTACATCTGCTCAAGAAAATGATGCTACTTCAGTAGTGTTATAAAAACACCTTTCTAAAATGTGATGGCACAGGCAGCCTTTGTTTTGCGTCACATACAGTGCTCTAGCAAGTGTATTTTGGGTTGAGTAGGTAAAGATGATTCTGATAACCAGCTGCTCCAGCCTCCCTTTGTGCTGTCGCTCTGCTAAGTGGTATGACCACATTTTTTACTTTTTCTGACTGATACATGATTCTAGAGAATATTTCTGCCTCCCACTGCATCTCTTTTCCCTCTGTCATCCAGATGCTGCAACAGAAAGTAGTATCTTGCTGAAGGAATGCTGAATTGCATGTCCGGGACCCTTTCCAGGTACCACTTRGGGTTTTCTGGTAGGTAGAGTTCAAAGAGCTTGCCAAAGATATATTAGCAAGTACCTTCCTTCTGATTTTGCTGAGAGATTCCCTTGAACTGAAACCGTTGCTTCTCTCACCTGTCCTGCCCTTCCAAGCATTTTCCTCTTTTGTAGTTCCCATCATGACTGATAGTGGCAATAACGGTAATAGAAGTGGTGTCATTGCCAAKGAGCTGAGAAAATAATGAGGGCATGGTCCTGGCCAAAGTGCTTCTCATTGATGCTGCAGCAGGGTTCAAGACAGTAGCTATTTGGGGCCAGAAAGTCTTTTTGTGTAAGTCTTTAGGTAGTGTGTACTCTCATGATGTTCATCTGCAGTCTTTATTTTAGTTCTGTCTTGTCCCTTTGGGCTTGTAAATAAGCAATCATAAGCTGTAACACAGTCATGAAGCCAGCCACATAGTCAATGTGTTACCACTTCATTAATCATCTCAGGGCTTTACTGAAATCTGATGTAAGCAGGGACCTTTTAAGGGAAGCAGTTCTATCACTTCAGAATGCAGCCAATTCAAAAGAAAAATAAACCCCTTTAGCAAACAACCCCATTCTGTAGTCTCAAGTACTTTTCTGTGAAAGATTTGCACTTGTTACCTTGTGAAGAAAGKGCTGACAATGAAAGCTCCACATAGGCTGGTGCTACTAGAAAATAATTAGACATAAAGTAGTCTGAGTAWTAGCTTAGCTAGCTGCTGAACCTGGAGATAAAAGGCTGCTTTCCTCTACTGGCTTAGGCTGGGTGAAGTTGATTCTCCTCACAGTAGCTTGTGTGAAGCTGTGCTTTGGATTTGGAGCCAAAATGGTGCTGATAATGCAAGGTTGTTTTCTGTGGTTGCTATCACACAGAGTCCAGGTCTTTGCTGCTCCCTCACACTGCCCTGCCAGCAAGTAGACTTGGGCTGCAGGAGAAGTCAGGAGGGGGACCAAGCTGAGACAGCTGATTCCAGCAGAATAAGGGGATATGCCATGCYCAGAAACTGGGGAGGGAGCAGGAAGGGGGGCACATTTGGATTGACGGTGTTTGTCTTCCCAAGTCACCATTACATGTGATGGGGCCCTGCTCTCCTGGAGGTGGCTGAACACCTGCCTGCCCATGGGAAGCAGTGAATTAATCCTGTGTTTTGCTCTGCTTGTGCACACAGCTTTTGCTTTACCTATTAAACTGTCTTTATCTGAGCCTGTGAATCTTCTCACTTTTACTCTTCTGATTCTCTCTCTCATCCTACTGGAGTGGAATGAGAGAGTGAGTGGCTGTGTGGGGCTGGGCTGTTGGCTGGGATTAATCCACAGCAGCCCTTTTCCTTCCAAAGTGCTTGAATGTAAAATGCAAGCTGTGGTCTCAAGTGACACGGTGACTTATCCATTTCTACTAATGGTAAATGAAGATAAGGAAAAAATAGAATACACAGTGGTGTTTTGTATGTAAACACTTGAAATGGATTTATTTTTACATTTTTACAGTTGAATCATACAGTATTCTTCTGTACGCCTTGAAATAAAAGCCTCCAGCTTTTAAAAATGCTGCCCAGTACAAAAGTGCTAAAGTAAAACTGTAKTGTTTATGTATAGAAACCATCCCTACACATCACTAAATATCACTAAATAATCTCTTCACCAGTATCAAGGTGTGGAGAAGAGATGGAAGATAAAACTTCRTAATGTTTAAGGGCTTCCTTCTTCTGCTTACAGTTCAGTCTTCAGGAGCTTCAGCGCTTTCTGCATATTTGAATACACTAGAAATGAAATATTCATGCATGTTATTTTTGCTGCAACTTCCTCTGCCAGCAACTAAAAAAGCTGCAGAGAARATGTCATTATTATTAAAGCTTTTAATCACATGCCTATTGCTATAGGGATTCAGATGCACTTCATGGGTTTAATTCTGACTGGTGAGAACATTYGTTAATGCAAACGTATGGGCAGAGACTGGTGCTGTGCATCAGTGAGGGAGGGCTGTAGCAAACATCTTTCTCTGCTCTCAGAAGGTTCCTTGACCTGGCCTGTTAGGACTCGAGTGTGAGAGTTCTCACCATTGCTTTCAGTGAACACTGCTGAATATTGCAAGCTCCTACTGACGTATGCTTGCTTTTAAAACAGATGGATGCTTAAGRCTCCAGGGCTCTGCCATAATTTTCTTCATCTCACTGAGTTTTAAGTCTAGCATCTTGTTTCATTTCAATCCTGGTTAAATGTCTTTCAGCAAGTACCAATTGTGAGAGTCTGTAACATCTGCTGTTATTCCTTGTCGCATGAAAAATGTGACTGCTTTCAGAATATTTTCAGAATGTGTCAGAACACTACTTACACAATGAAATGTCAGAGGGCTCATATGCGTAGAGACGGTTTGAGTATCTTCCAGTAATATCTGCTCTCACAGTCAGGGAAGGATCTGGGGAAAAAAGGTGAGAGAATTTGTAGAGGATAGGGTTAACCWTCAAGCAGAAGGAAATAGAGGAAAATAAACCTTCCTGCATGCCTGCTTGCTTCCAGTTTTAAGTGTTGTGTTTTCAAGTTTATTAGGAACGGAATGAGTTACCCATTCCAGCAACTGTGGCATCATGCCATTGAGGGAGGAAAGGCATGTGAAGCAGGCTGAGATTGATTCAATGTCTGATCCAACTAGATTCAACTAGAACCTCTATATTTCTTATGGAACAAATTCCTGTTAATCAGCCTGAGGATTTGAGATACAYGGTGCAGCAGAGGCTCTGTTCTGAGATCAGCTTTGAGGTACTCACCTATGAACAAAACCCGAGGGACGTACTGGCCGTCAGGTGCAAGGTTCTTGTCTGTGGTTTCATACTTAAAGAAAACAGAGAAAGTTCCCAGTCAAGGAGGGCATGTTACATAAATACTTTTTTCTTTCACTGTACTTTGTGTTATGAAATAGAACTCAAATGATAYATTTTGCAGTTTAAGACATTCACTGGGATGCATTTTTTTTAACAGCTGGAATTGCAAATTGGTAACAGTTCATGCTATTATTAAACCTTACATTCCCTCACATTTTGAGTTTATGATAGCTATAAATGAAAGACTTACTACACAATATATTATGCTTCAGCAGTGGCCATTTTCCTAGCCAATCCTAGCTATTAAATGCAGAGCCCATAATTAAAAGCAAAATTTTGTCACTTTCACTTAATTAAGTGTAACTGGGAAACTTACCACGAGGTTCAGGAGAATGAATTTTTCAGCCAGTTTCTGTATCTCTTTGTGTTCAGCAAAGACCTTCTTGAGGGCTAGAGTAGGAACATGGGAAAGAAAAAGAGGCCCCTGAAAAATATTGTCTTCCAGAAAGAAATTCAAACAAACTGATGAAACAAAATTTCCAGTTTGGAACTGCAGCAAATGAAGATTTTCAGTTCATTCCATTGGAACGTGATCCACTCATTTATATTCTGCATTAAAGAGTAATTATAATAGTAAAAAAAGTCCTATGTTCCTTCAGACAGTKCAGCTGTCTCTCAAATTTGTCTGCTTAGGTTTGAATTTGAACATTTGACCCTTCTAACTTCCTATTCTACTACTGTGGTTTCTGGCCCCAGTTCTTAAGACACTTGATAATAACAGCCATGTAGGGCATTGGACTGAAATGTTTGGAAGGATTTAAATGCTTGTACAAAGAGCCTTCTGGAGTTACTATGGATGTTATGGATGGATGCAAAGGTCTTGCCATGTGGATTGACTTGCAGGAAGAGGAGGGCTCATAAATTCAAAGATGCTGGGAAAAGAGCAGTCCCAGTTACCAGAAATCCTGCAAGAGCTCAGTTTCATCCTGGGTTGATTTAGTCCCTGGCTGGGTTCAGTCTCAATCACTGATAATATCAAGAGCTGAATATGTCCATTCCAACAAATTACTGTTTCTCACTGCTGGTCTTTTTTGGCTGATTATGCTGTGAACCAAACCCAGATTTGTMAGAGGCCAAACCCTACTGACCTGTRCTTATTTCTGTGTCCATTCTGTATCATGCAATACTGAAGTACCATTTTAATTTTATTTCTACACATTGGAAAACACCTTTGTGTTACAGTCAACAATTTGAACAACACTCCCCATGCTTGTGCAAGCTGGTACTTCACTAAGGTTTAAGCAGAATGGTGGCTGATTTTTTTTTTTAAACAATATTTTTCCAGAAACTTAAGATTGGACTTTTTCCCCTCCCCAGTGCAAAGGAATTACCTTGGCTGTGTGGGCAATCTTCCAAGTGGTGGATAATCATCAGGGGTTTCTGGCTGGAAAAGAAGAGTTCTCGTTAGGAAGGGGGGAGGCACTGGGGCTCAGGGTGGGCGTGGTGGGGCGGGTGGGACAGGTACCTGTGCTTGGCCCGGAAAAGCGCTTCCTCATAGGTCTGCGTCCAGATGAGCTGGTCCCCCCAGCCTGCAGAAGGGACAGGGACACACACACTCAGCATGTCACAAGTGGGGCTGGAGACCCCGGCTCTGAGTCCTGCCCCTGCCTACCCACTGCCAGAGGGCATTAAATAAGGAATGAGGGAGGAGAGGGTGCTAGGAAATACTAGAAAAGGTTTTGCAGAATGAGTTGCAAGAAAATTCATTTTTTAGAACAGCATAGTAGCTGAAATATTCACAAGATTGCACTTTTTTTTTTTTTTTCAGTTTGGTGGGAGGTTTTTTCAGTTGTTTGTTTTTTTACCTCTGGAGAGTGTCTGGGGCAGTTTTGGCTTAGCAGTGGTGTCCTTTGTATCCTTCTTTGCATCCTTTGCCAGAGCACAGGAGATGACAATGAGCAGCAAGAACATGGACACGTAACTCTTCTCCATGGCTGCTCCTGGAACAGGTGAGAGAAACTCTCGGTCACTGCGGTGCCTCCCAGCTCGGTGCTGGCGGTGAGGCACGCAGTGATAAGGACAGGGYAGGTAAAGCAGCCGGGCAGGTCACAAATATGCAGCGGGGTGAGTCAGGGCTGAAAGGAACAGCTCCAGGCAGGGGCCTGGGCTTGGGGGCACGGGACTGTGAGGTTTGCTTAACAAACTGCCCTGAAGGACCCAGCTGCTTCCCACTCCCCTGTCCATGCCATTGGGCTGTGCCTCTTTCTGGGTGTGCATGTCTGTGTTTGCTAGCTTATATCTTCTTTTTACATGTATTGAATATGCTCAGTAAAAAACCGAGCTATGGCAATTCCAAAAGTCCTTGCAAGTCCTAATAAGTTCAGAGTTCTACCTTGATCTCCCAGCACAAGAGTAACCCAGCAGCAGGTGCTGAAAAATTAGTCTCAGCTCTTCCCCCATTTTGTTGTGGGAGCAACTCAAATGAGAAGTCAGAATGTTTTACAGTGAACATGAGCATAGACACAGCTTAATGGTGTTGTTGAAGCTTCCAATCCCATCTCTTCCCTTAAAAATATCATCAAATCCTTAAACCCAGCAGAATCTATAAAAAAAAGAGTGGGGAGGGGTTGCTGTGTGGCACAGTGGACTTTGAGGGTTGAAACAGCACAAAGCAGAGAGCTTTTCTTGAGCCAGACTGAGGCAAGGAGACAAGACATATCTGATGGAAAGCTCCTCAGCATTTCAGCTGAGATGTTTCTCTGAAGGGGAAGAGCATTTCAACATGACCCTCTGTTTTCTCATTACATTTGCTCTTAGAAACTAGAACCAATATAATGGGTATAAAAAGAAAGTTTAAGATATTCAAAGCAGTATAGAACATGGAAAAAAATCGCTCAAATAAAAAACCCAAAAAATCTACAAATCTACAGATTTTCCCCACCCTCCCTTCCCTCAACAGGCTGACTGTTTTTAAAGTTCAGACAATGAAAACGCCAGGGGAACCGAGGTGTTTTTCCAGGTAGGAACTGCAGGAGGAGACATTAGCTGGGTTTCCGTAAGGGATTCAGTGCTCTTTGGTGCTGGGATGTCCAATAGAGCCCAAACATCCAAAGAGTCCCTGTTTCAAGGGTATGAAATGCAGCTTTTGCAGCAGTCTGCTTTCCTGCCCCAGGAAAAAGTCTCCCTGGCAAGGAATAAAATTACATAAAGTTCAATTAAACTCTGTGGATTGTCAACATTGCCTCAAGAATTGTTTTGGTTAGAGCTRTATGGYGGAAGTAATGCTTCTTTAAAYAGAAAAAAATAAAATAAAAGGTTATGGGACAACCAGGAAATCGAAGATCAGGCACATTTTAGGCTGTTGTGAATGCAGCATGCAGAATGCAAAGACAGAGAAACATTAAACCTGCTCCTTCAAAACTTKGCCTCTGAAAAACTGTGCACTTTTGWAAAGCTTYTCAAGACAACCCCTCTTTGCCTGCCGTTTTTTGACCTGGAAAGCTAATATTTCTGTAAACATTTCCCTTCATAACTGCCTGCTTTGCTGCAGTTTTTTCTTTCCATTGACAGATTCCCATCCCCATTTAGCTCAGGCTCACAGCTCCCCCGGGTCCCTTGTGAAGCAGGGAGTGTGCAGTGCCTTACCTTGTTTACTGTCCCAGACTCCTGCCAGGTGCGAAGCTGATCCTGGTTACAGCGTGAATGCTGCTGTTCCTACTGCCTATTTATGCACCTTCTCACCCCAACTCCACCCACAAGCTTTGAATTTGAATACTACTTTCAAAGAGCTAAACTTTCGAGTTTTTCYCCACCAAAACACTCAGAGTTAACTTTGTAATTAAATAACATGACCGTTTCCTGTCAGACACTGTAGCTAAAGCTCAGAGACATTTCTCTACACTTTTGGGATATTTCTTGAAAGGTGATTTTAAAAGATTGGCAAAGATCCAAGTCCAGGTAAGCTTAAGTCAAGACTCCTGATTTGCCTGAAGAGTGATTTGTCTTTTTTTGATTGGTTGAAAAATCAGTATGGGTTGCTGTTCTTTTGGTCCTTAGAAAAAGTTAAATTGATGACTCAGAACTGTGGATATTAATTAGATAAATAACACACGTGCACGTATAAGAGCACATACAATTGCAACAAAATCTAAAAAAAACTTGGTGAAGGTCTCCACAAAAACRTATTTGGAAGCTGTAATAAAAACCTGTGTTCATAAGCAGAGATCTAATTCAACATTTAATTCAAATTCCACGATTAGTTAGTTGTGTAGCCATTTATTTTTCACTACAACATGAACACYAATCACTCTAGGTTTCAGATACACATTTAATACAGTGCAGTGATCAGGAAAACAGACCTGGGTGGGCATCCCCACTGCTGCCTGAACTGCACACAGTCCTTGTGTTGAGGTCAACGCAATTCTGGCCTCAGCAATGTATGTTGAAACTAAGGTATGTTCTCCCTGTTGCATGGCTCATGTATTTCAGTGAGATTAAAATCACATATTCATGGGCAGTGAATACTCAACATTACTCAGCTGGGTAGGTGAAATCCATCAGATATGGATTTTCCTGTTTGAAATTCACAGTGCTCTCTCATGGCTGCTAAAAGCACCCGTTTGTTACAAATATACTTGAGACAATTAAGAGCTTTGGATCTTAGGGTGGATTTGGTTTGTTTTTGCTTTTGTTTTTTTTCATTAAAAGTAACTAGGAAAACAAAGTACAGAAGCAAGATGGTGAACTCAAGCAAAAAAATGTATTGAGTTTTACCATGCTTTGCTTAGCTGCTTGATGTATTAGGAGGGTGAAACCAAAGCTCCCAGGGTTGTCAGTCATTTTAGCTGCCCTTTCTGTATGCTTCACAAAATATGTATGTATTTCTGATAAAGAAACGAGTTTGCATAGAAAATTCCTTCTTCTTCTCCAGAACTTGTCCCTGAAGGTTTAGAGACATATTTTGTTRGCTTCTATGTTGTCTATCCAAACCACATGCACTCAGGTTTTCTTCCAAAACATACACCAAAAGAAGTTTCCAAGGTCCATATTTGGACATGGGCCCACTCACTTTAGACAATCAGGTTACATCCTTAATCCACTTTAGTGTAGATGTTTAGGTAAACCTTGGGTACCCATTTTCATCTCAGCTTACACAAGTCAGAACTGTAATTTAACATGCTTTTGCTGGCTTTCTTCGCAGGTCACACTTAAGAGCATTTGGTAGTTTTAAAGCCTGTAAAAGAAGTTCTAGCTGCTCTCTGGTGATGGGAAGAGATAATGAACGGGTGAGCTCTCATTCACATACCTTATAAAAACATTGGGTTTTGTCTAAAATGTGTCCTCAAAGCTCAGCCCCGACCCGCTCCAGGCTCCAGCCTTCGATGTATCTCCATTTCATTTGCACCTTTGCTTTCTCCTGTTTCAGGAGATAGATTTACCTTAATCTGCTTCCACATAGCCTTGTTCTGCTTGGACAGAATTTTTTCCTATAGGAAACTCAATAATTCAAATACAGATACTCCCAGGGACTCCCCTGTCAGCTCAGACCTCAATGTAGGTAGTTAAACTTGTCTCTAAACCAGCCTTGTGCCTTGTTAATTAAGAGAGGGGGAATCCAGTCTTTCCCATGGCTTCCTGCTTGTTTCCTGAGATTTTACCCAGCCACTAAGTTTTCTTCTGGCCATTTATAATGGGCTGTTTTCTCTGCCTCAGTGACTAAATCCTGCAGGAACTGCCCCAGAGGGCTTCAAACAAAATGGGACTGTTCCAGAAGGTTTTTCCTTTTTTGCTGTAAAGATCTGGTAGATCCTATTACTGTTAATATTTAAYATCTTTACAAAACTAGTCATCAGTTTTTTAATATGATTTTGGTTCCTCTGCTCTGATGTGGCTTTGTTCATTGTGGTTTACATGAAAAAAATCTGCACAGCTTCAGGTAGCTGATGTTATATCTGTTCTGAAGGCATTCTCTGAAGTTGTTTGTCCTTGTCTTTTCTAATACATAAATTTTAGAATTCAGCCATTTCTCCTAATTTCATAATAAACACATGTCTTATGATCTGCTGCTTAGAATAAATATTAGATATTTGCATGGGAGGAATGAGAAGTAATGAATGAGATGTGTAGTCAGTCCCACACCAGCAATGCTCTGAGTCAAAGCCAGAGAAAAAACAGGTCTGGAAATCATCAATCCTCCAGTGCTCTTTAGGTAGTAATGTATTGTATGACACAGTGGTTGAAAGCAGACAAAATTCGTTTGAGAACTGGTCAAATTTCTGTTGTCAATGCTTTAACCACATGCAGATTTTTTTATCACCCGATAGCTCTTCGGATGAAATTTGACTGAAATTTTCTGGAAAGCCTTATACCCCAAAATTTAGGAGCTTAGACACCTCTGACACTTCTGACAGATGCAGGTCCCATTTTGTTTCCTTCTTGCCCTGAATAGCTCAAATCCTTATCATGAATATTGTAGGCAGGTGCTGCCTGGATTGGATATGCCATGGTGATCGATGTCCCCAGTCACACATGCCAAGATGGTTTATTTGTGTCACAGTCATTTATGCTGGAGCAGGCACTGGATCCCAACCTGCTCCTTGTGATCTGTCAGGCAGAAAGTGATTTTTCTCACATTGGCCCAGGAAATATTTGCTAACGCTTGCAAATGGAAAGAACTACTAAAGGAGAAACCGGTATCTTATAAATGCTCCAGACATTCTCCTGAGAGTGGGAAGGCCATGGTTTAACCATAACTTGCCTACTTTATTTTTGTTACAGAGCCATGTTTCAATTCAGGGCTGGAAAGACAAAAGTTCAGCAAGTTTCTGTTGCTGAACATTTAAAGCTGGTAATTGGAGTCCAGGTAAATTTTTGCTAGGAATCTGATAATTTCTCCTGAAAGATGATGGTTTCCCAAAATACGTCAGCCCTACATTTACCTCTTTTGAAATCCTTTTAGTTGAATAAATTACTCAATTAACTTGCAATACCCACAGTTTATTGGTAATATTTTTCAAATTGTCTAGCAGAAGAGATGGTAAGGATTTAAAATATGATAATCTGACTCTTTAATTACTTCTCGCAAAGACCAGTCTATGAGGATTTTGATGCCTCTGGAGGCATTTTTTTCCATTTACATGTGGATGTTTATAATCCAAATCACCACCACTTGATGTAGGCTGCCATGAAAAGCATGGAGCATCCCCTACACAGTTTCAGATAAAGATGTGGTTTTGTCATGTAGCCAATTCTGACACCATCCTCTGTTGTGAGTTGTGATGCACTGAGATGTCTGGAAGGCATTGCTGAATGACATGTTTTAAAATCACAAAGTCATTTGAAGACCCATATTAAATATTCTTGCTCTTTTATTGTTTAATGCCCTTTTCCCAACAATAAGGAAACTGTCATGGTCTATTACACCAAGGATTAAGATCAAGATTTTCAGTATATGTGGAACTTAATTACTCAGTTGTGTTTGGTGAGAGAAAGCCTGATCCTGGTAGCACTTAGATTTAACTTTGAAATATTTTTYCAGTYACATGAGGAGGCAGTGAATGAGTGAAGAGGGATTCTGTRATGAGAGGGRTTGGGAAGCTGGGGGTGTACCACAGCTTGTTAGGAAGACTGTTTATCTGGTCTTCTTAACTGGGCAAGTCAGTTATGATCCGCAAGGTTTCATGTCTGAAATTCTTATACTGAAGTAAAAGAATTTTAATGAATTAAAATAACTAGCTGCATCTAAAACCAGAAAACTTGCTGTACTACAAGACTGAAGCCAATGACTTCTTTGCTGTCTGCCTTGGTCCTTGGATACTAAACTCTATTACAGGCAAGTAGCAGAGCCACAATGTTCATATTCCAGTGAGTCTCACGGAGCTGCCACCTTAATGTGATCTCTCTATAGGCCTCCTTTGCATTTGTTGTTCTTATTTCAAATTTGTGTTTGTTTCTTTGTAACACAGACCCTCTCTGTTTTCTTAGTGCTTGCCTCTAAGATCAGAAACCTTTGGCTTCTGGTGAATATCAGTGACATCATGTCCCACATCTGACTCCAGAATCTGGGGTCCTTAAGTAATAAGAGTTTGTATTCTCTTTATTCTCTTCATTCTTGCTAACCTATCTGAAAGTTTGCAAAGACAAAGATAAAGGATTTCATCCTGTTCTTTTTGATTTTTTTTTCAATGAGCAGTAAGCACATCTCAGTGAAATTCCAGCTAAACCACTGACACAGCTCTTTTCTTAGCCCCACCATTGCTCATGTGCTAGTATCATTTTTTTTAACATTAATTTTGCTTTGGGGCCAATATTCCAACCAGCACGACCTCTGCAATGAAGAGTATGCATTCCTTTTGCCAAGTTCCTCTCTTTCCTGGTAGTGTTGGTCTTTTTCCCCGAGCTGTGCAGACTCTGGTGGTGTTGACACTTTCTGGCCTGCATGATGTGCTCCACAGAACCCTCCATCTTCTCCCAAGTCCTTGGCATTACTTTGGCTCGTGTTTTTGTCACAGAATGTGCAATTTTAKTCAGCCACACAGTCTGCACAACTCCAATGGGCTCCAGTGCTGAGTCCTTCCTGCAGAAGGTCTCACAGCTGCCAATCTTAGATGTTCCACCACATCCACACTGGGTCCTTGCCATGGTACCATTTCTTCTCTCTCTGCTTCGGCCTGAACTGGATGGGGGTCTGTTTTTGGACAGTTTTAGTTG